ACAGATGAAAGAGATTCAAACCATAATCTCATAATTGCAGATCTCTAGCAAAGGTTGGAAATAAAACAAAAATCCGATAAACAGAAAACTAGATCCGATATTAATCGGAATTTACAATAATAAGAGAAAAAGCTATCTCTCTCTGAAAGATGAGAATGAGAGAAGAGAGAGAGAGATAAACTCTATTAGAAAAAATATTATAACTTAAAACCAGTTTAAAAACATTCCGTAAATAAATATTACAAAAGTACTGTTAGAAACAGATAATTATTCTATCACTGCCTCAATACTTAGCGACTTTGCTATCATTATTTTATGTATTTTTCCTTACTATAAATATGTATGTATGAAGCAGTGTAAGAAGAAGTAGTTAATAAGAAGAGAAATCATTTCTCTCCATTCTCGTCTCTCTCATCCCTCACCATCTATCATCTTTTTAAAATATAATCTAATATATATATATATATCAACACATATATATCTCACCTTATTTTAGTTATAGTTTATAACACGTTATCAGCATGATTCGTTCATATACCAAAAATGTGAGATTTAAATTATGTTTAATCCGTTTATACTTATGTACAATGGTCGGGATGATAGGCGTTGCCTTCTCTGAACCAATCATTATGGTAAACTATGTCTTGTCATATATATATGGTTGGTTTATGATCATATGATAGTTGTCTCCTCAGATCATTACTTCTATATAATAAATGCCCCGAAGACATTTAAGAAAAGTTCATGAAGAACTAAGAAGAACATATTATGTCCAGAAAACATACTTGAAAAAAATGCCCCAGAGACATAGATGAAAAGAAGTTCCAGAAAAACTATATGAAAAATATATATCTAGACGATATACATGCAAGTGTTCCTGAATAACTGCTTAATAACTTTTGTCTAGAAGACGACTAACATATATACTAACCGCTTTTCATTATAGTTATTAAACTTTATTTTATGTTTAACTATTTAATTTATTTTATCAATATGGTTAAAGACAGTTAAACATGTCTTTAAAAATCAGAACTTCCGATGGAATTATAGAGCTCTAGAAACTAAAAGTTCTGGAAGCTTCATGAGTTATAAAGCTCCAGAAGAGTTAAAAAGCTCCAGAAAAGTTAAAAAGCTCCGGAAATGTTAAAAGCTAAAAGCTCCGGAATTATTAGGAGCTGTGGAAGTTTCATGAATTAAAAACTCCAGAAGAGTTAGAAGCTCTTGAAGAGATAAATTTTTAGATAAGACAAACGTTCTTGAAGAGCAAAACGCTCCCGATGAACAAAACACTCCAGAAGAGCTAGATGTTCTGGAAAAACAAAACGTTCCAGCAGAACGAAATGCTATAGAAAATTACATGATGAGAACATGCATAAAGATGGCAAAATAGTATAAAATACTAAGCTAGAAGTTTACTAATATATAGCATAATCGGTTTAATCCATCTCGGTGTAATAAAGGTATTGAGAATTTTGTGTGAATAAACCGAAGTTTTTTGTACATAGCATGTCTTGAGACCATCATGAGAGATGAATAACCATTTTTGGTTGAAAAAATTTATTAGATATGGTGGCTCGAGTTCTTTAAGCAGTCCCCAAATTATACATGAATAACTGAAAATCAGTTCAAGATGAAAGGGCAAGAAAAGCCATCATCAGAGGGGGGTATTAAGAGTCCACTAAAGGATTTGATGCATAATTTCTCACCCAAATGGGCTAACTGGATATGTTGTTGGTCCTAAAGTGAGATTCATTTCAAGATGGATGAACTTGAAGTATCATCATCTCGAGGGAAAGAATGAAAAAATCCCATATCTAAAGTAACTGAAACATCCAGAAGATTATGTTCACACTTGAAATGGGTATTACAGATAATTTTTATAACGTAATCCAAAAGATTACAAGATCAACAATGGTGAAATTTCTCCATTTTTTGGTATGGAACAACTAATGAGATTTCTGGAAATGAATTATCCTTGTAAATTATGGATCCTCGTATAAATGATTTCGAACATGAAGTTCAAAGGATAATTCATTTACTTAACTGCTAGACATACTATTGGTATGAAAGAACATCTCAATTCTAGCTGAAAATGATCCAATAAGAATATATGTCCCTGAAGGACGAGTTATCAATAAAGAGTCTGTGGCACATCAGAAATGTGATAGACTATTTTGGTTCCAAAGAAATCTTTCAAAGAAAAAGGAGCAAATATATGTAATCGTTGGATAGAGGATGAATCTCTTAAAGAGACCGTTGATATGGTTAATATTAAAATCTAGTACCTGAATTATATCATTGTTAATGATAAAGATATCTCGATTAACCATGTCATTATGGGAAATGATGGAATCAAAGACAAAATAATTGTCAACAATAACGAGATAGTGCGCGATATGAATGGGGATCATAAGTCTACCTCTATGGATGAATGTAGAAAGAGAAAATATTGGCCAAATGGTGAAAAGGCAATCAAGTTTATGTTAAACTCATATGAAAAATGAGATATTTTCGGACCAGCAGTCCAAACATTAAGGATAATATCAAGTCTGGCAGAAAATAAGTGACTTGAATTGCAAAGAAAATAATCCCCAAAGGATTCTTGATATCATAATTATGTTTCCAGGAACTCTACTTGATGAGTATATATTTATTTTATGGGGTATAATAATTTTAGTTAAGATTAACTGATAGATGGGTCAGTGAAAGTGATCCTTGATTTAGTCATAAAATATGATGCTTTTTAGAAAGGAAAATTATGTTCAGTTTGTTTTGCAGGTATCCCAATTTAAGATCTTATCTCGAAAGATCTCAGCAGGATCTCACACATAGAGAAAACTCATATTTGAACATTTCTAAAGAAAGTGATATTTGATATTCCTTACCAAATATCATATGAACTTGATATTCATAAAATTTGAAAGTACTCCACAAGAATTATTGTTCCTGAAGAACAAAATTTATCAGAGTAAAGTAAATGAACTTAGGGTTCAGTTAAAAAAGGGGAGGGGGGGGGGTTAATGCAATCTAAAATTCTCCTGAAGAGAAAGAAATTTAGAGAATAAAATGAAAGGATTCCATAAGAACCAATAAAAAAAAATATCGTACGACTCATAATTATTACACCTGAAGATGTAATGTCATTCGAGACCAAATGGGTCTTTGTTCGAAACAATGAGAAAATGAAGTCACAAGATATAAAGCCTGGTTTGTGACACAAATTTTTTTCTCAAAGAACGAAAATTGAATATAAGAGACATGTTCTCCGGTCATGGATGTAATCGTATTCAGTAATGTATTGATTAAAATCCTAGAAGGATCAAGGATGCATGAAGCATCCGAAAAAGTTATTTGGTCAATTTATATTGATCAAATGAAGATTTTGAAATAAGAGAGCATGACCAACTCGAACTACTATGGACCAGAAGTCCAATGATCCAAGATGACGATTGTACAAGTATGTTCACTAAGGCTCTACTTATAAAGATAACAAAAAGATGGTGTATATAATTAGAATGCATATTCTAAAGATGATGCTTACAGGGGGAGAATTGTGATAATATGCGTGGCTGCACTCTTTTTCTTTTTTCATGGTTTTTATCCAAATGTGTTTTCCATGACAAGGTTTTTAACAAGGCAGTAAAGAAAAACGCACAAAGATTAACTTTTAAAGAGAAATACTTCAAGAAGAAGTATTATGAAACACATAGGTGCATTTTTTTTCTGATCATAGTTTTTATCCCACTAGGGTTTACCATGACGAAGTTTTTAAAATATCATCAAAGAATAGGCAAAAGATAAACTTACAAGAGATTTACCAAAGAAGATTATATCGATTTTTCAAGAAAAGATTACATGATGGACTGTGCTATCATTATTTTATATATTTGCAGACTGTGCTATCATTATTTTATATATTTTTCCTTACTATAAATATGTATATATGCAGCAGTGTAAGAAGAAGTAAGAGAAATCATTTCTCTCCATTTTCGTCTCTCTCATCCCTCACCATCAACAGTAAAAACTCAATAAATTAATATTCGATAAATTAATAAACACGATAAATTAATAATTTTTCATAGTCTGAGTTGGGCTGGTTTAAAATATGATACAATTCGATAAGATAATAATTTTAATAAAACTCCTATGGAAATATTTGGTTCTATTAATATTATAAATTAATAATTACTATCAACAAAAATACCATAAACAAAAATCTGAGATAAACATATAAGTGAGATAATCTACTAAAATATGAGTTTATTAATGTTTTAATTTATTTTAAATGAAATCTTTTTGGAACTTATTTATAATTTTGAAATTTTTTAAAAATTATAATCATTAAAAAAATTCTTTTAATTAATAAGAATAAATAGTATTTTTTCTTTGAAATCTATAAATTAATAATTCTATAAGTTAATAAAATATCAAAGTTCCAACATTATTAATTTATAAAGTTTTTTACTGTATCATTATTTAAAATATAATATATATAGGGAAAATCGCATTTTAAACCTCGTGGGATCAAAAAGGTAGCACTTTAAACTTTGATAGATTTCTTCGCGTCGCCGGAAAACCTGACGGAACAAGAACAGCCTGTAACAGAATAGTTAACTCCGGTAACTTGCTTTAAAACATGCATAAATTTAATTAATTTTTTTTAATCAATCTCAAAATTCATTAATTAAATTAAATGAATAAAAAAGAAGCAACATTAACTAAAAAACCCCAACTCGAAATAAAATTCTCATATCGATTTTGGGGATCTAGGGTTCATGAGAGTAAACCCCAGAAACGAGAAATTACCAGAATCTATAAATTCGAGATTAGGGAAGGAGTAAATCGAGAGTGACGAAATATCTGGGTTTAGAAGCGAGGGTGAGGAGGCGCACATTACAACAAATCGTGACAGAAGAGGTAAGTTAATTTACTGTTCCACCAATTGTTGCTTTCATCGTGATAACTATGATTCATGGAGGTTTGTATTCAATTATTTGTAGATGGCTGATCATCGTAGCTCATCAACGAGTGTAAACAAGGATCAAACAAGTGTTTTGTGTTACTGTAACGAGACAGCAAAAATTGTCAAAGCTTGGACTGATGCAAATACTGCACGGAGGTTCTACACTTGTAGAGGACGTAGAATTGGTAACGGATTTGGAACTTGCAAAATTTTCTGTTGGTTTGATGTTGAGAAGCCATACGGGTGGCAACATCTTACTTTGTTGGAGGCAAGAGATATCATTCGAGAGCAAAAGGAGGAGATTAGAAATTTGAAGCAAGAGTTGTTATTCAGGAACGCTGTGAATGTGGAAAAACCGAGTGATGTATTGAATCAGCTCAAGCAATTTCAGGAGGAATGTGAAGCTCTGAAGCAGGAAGTGTTGGTTTTGAAGGAAAAGAGCACAGTACAATATCTTATGTCTCTAGCGTAGTTTATCTTGTCCTTATGGTATTTCCAATGTTGTTGTTAGTTTTCAGTGAAGACATTGTCTTTGTTGTTGTGTTAGATTTGATTAAAGACACTGTCTTTGTTGTTGTGTTAGATTTGATTAAAGACATTGTCTTTGTTGTTGTTAGAGTTTAAACATTAAAAAGGAAAGATAATGGTCTAAACACTTCAAACCAACATCCAATAAGTAAGACCAAACAAGCCAAAACAAAACCAACGTTTAACACACCAAAAACAATGTCTAAATGCTGATAAACAAGTTGCACGAATTTTTAACACACCAAAAACAATGTCTAAAAACAGAGCTGATAAACAAGTTGCACCAATGTTTAACACCATAAAACACACTACTGCTGAGCATCTCCTGCATCTCCTTCTTGCTGGTTTTCCTTAGGGTTTTGTCGATGATGTAGGTTTAGTTTGGATCTGTCATACACTCTATTCCCAAATACTTCAAATGGTCGATCTGTGTATGGACTCCAGAACAGTGGTGGAGGCAGAAAAGTTATTGACATGGGTCACGCTATACTCAATTGGCAAAAAGCTTTTTTGTCTTCTATGCTATACTCTAACCAATCATGATACTGAACAAACCAATGTGGATTAAAGTACCACAATAAATTTCCTATTAAGTTTGTTTAAAAGTATGACTGCGAGGTTGACAAAGTCCTCTACTCAAGTATTTGCGTCGTACCTCATCTCTTTATCAGGATGATAATCTTGAATGTTTTTCCACTTTGCTGAATCATATGGTAAATCATCCAATTCAATATTAGATAGTGGAGATTTTATTTTCAGAAACCGTTTCATTATGTTTAACTATTGAATGTTTTTTTTCTTTACTGGATTTATATTAGATGGTGGAGATTTGCTTTTCAGAAACTGTTCTATTATGTTTGGCATTACGATCTACATGTACACCAAAACAAAAATATGTTAATCCTAATTTAATATTTAAAAATTTCGTGTGCTATTATCACAAGCATCGATGGTTGGTGTATTTTAAATTGCTTAAAATAAACAGTCAAGCAACTTAGCCAAGGGTATTTTGTTGATCGATATGCAGCTTCTCCTGAAAAAAAAAACCACTAATGTGTAGCTTCATTTCTAAATTATATTAGTTTTAGAACGGATCCACAACTTATAAATTAATATTTTAAGATGAACTCTTATTTATAGTGCAACTTCCCTTTCTAAATTATATCACTTTGTCGTGGGATAATTTATAGTGCAATAATTCTTTTTTTTTTTTCACCTGGGTCAGCAGACCCACATTATTGTGGGCTGCCTCCGCCACTACTCCAGAATGTTTCAGAACCGTTTGGAATGTAAACAGCCAATTACTTTACCTTCAGTGGTCGCCCTCTTGAAGGTTTCTTGACATGTGGTTTCACTTGAGTAGATGAAAGTGATGGTTCTGAAGCACTACATATAACTGGCGTTTGCGAGCTTGATTCACCTACTTGTTGGGAAGCTTTCGAAGAACTTGTGGCCTCTCTAGTTTTTTTTTTGCTTCCTGCAAGATGCAAGAAACATTTTCAAGTTGCAACATTTACACTTTTTTCAAAATAACGCTCCCGAGAGACTTACCGGTTGGAGTTACTTCCTGAAGGTGGAGTCTTTCTTACTCTTGGCTTTGGTGGTTGATAACACCCGATTTTGACCACTTTTCACCATTAATTTCAAATGATTTTTCAAAGGTTTTAATCAGTTTTAGGAACTTTTATTATGATTACGATGTATTTGTAGTTTCAAGGCTCTTTTCAGGAAACTTAGGGAAAATGATGGCAAAATGGAATAAATCCACTTTTCAGCTCAGAGTCAAACCGTCGGAAGTTCAGCCTCAAATTAAGACTTTCTCACCGTCTGATCCAGCTCAAATTTGGAGACAATAAAGAGGAGATAACCAGCTTTCGATAGCACTTTACATCACAAAGATCCAACGGTGCAATCAAAAGATACATGGAGAACAAGTTGATCCAGTTTACCGCGCCCGAGAGATTCTCACCTGCGACAAAAGCATATTTTACCTGTCATGGAAGACTCTCACCCCCGGTGGACTTTAGGACGAGCCACAAGGCCCAAAATCAGAGCCCACTTTGCCATTCCTCTTCAGAGAAGCCCTAATCGAGACCTGGAAGACCTTAGGACCTATAAATACATTGTTTAGCAGTCCTAAACGGGTGTGTGCTCCTGTAATGAGATTTTGAGCCACCAAACTTTGTTTTTCTAGGGTTAGGCGATGGAGATGGGGATTCTTCCCCAGATCCATTGTTCTTTCTCCTTTCTATTCTACTAACTTTTCTGTTTCATTCTTTTGCATTCTTCTATGTCTTTTATCATGTAGATTTGTCCCAGAGAGTCAAGTTGTTGTAAGAGTTATCGATGAACATATATATTGATTAGGATTTCTAAGTTTCTAAACCATATTCTGGATCTCATGTCTTCTAAGTTGTTCATATTGCATGAGAGTAGATTCATGATCTATTCTCTGAGCCTAGGATTGATCAGAGCCACGAGAGTGCTGTATCAGATCATCCATACCTAGCTTCAGAAGAACATAGTCGCTATAGGAGTCGAAAGCTACCTATAGAGAGATGTGAGTAGACGAATTCAATGTCTAATGCATGATCTTATTTCTGTTATGAGAGCGAGAGTTAATTATCAGATCTAAGAGATTAGTTGATTAAGATTACGAGAGTTGGTTAATCATACATATGTCTATTCTAGTTCCATGCAGATTCCCATAAACAGATGAAGATAAATCGCCCGGAAGCTAATTGGAAATGCCACCATACATCAATTAGAGTAAACCGGAGAAGTCTAAATCGCCACCTATGAGTTTAAGAGTCTTTATTTTCAGTCGATATGCTTGAGATATTCTTTTAACAATTCATCCTGCATTGCATTTTATTTCTTGTGAATATTAGATTAGGTTTAGTTTAGGACTCTTAACCAAAAACCCCAAAACTTTTATTGGGTTATGACTTTGCTTACTTCCTAGTTTGTTGTTTCTTGCAGATTAGACATCCTCCCTTTGGATCGACACCCTAAGTTATACAATGTACATCTTTGCACTTTCAGATTTTAGGGTTTTATAAATTCAAAACTTTCTTTATGGACCAATGGGCTTGTATGAAAAACAACCCTAGGCCCGTAGCCCATCAGTGGTGGCTTTGGATGACTCGGAAACTGAAAACAAGCCAACAAAAGCAATATAAAGTAATGACTCCAAAATCTATCTAAATTAATGAGAGACAAAAATAAGCCAACAAAAGCCATTGAATACCTCACTCGGTGGTTTACAAGGTCTACCACGTCTGTTTTTTGGACCTTCTACAACAACTGGTTCTTTTTTACAACTTGTTTTTATATGAACAGCTTCACCACAGTTGCCGCAATGTGGAATCCGTCCATGTCTTGTTGCTTTTCCTGGATTTTTTAGATCTTCAAAAGGCTCCTTGGCTCTGTCTCTGTTTTTCAGTCGACCTCTTGACTTGCGGATCTCAGGTATAGCCATTGACGGCTTTTGTGTCTTAATCAATAACTTCTCACCGATTGATATTTACTTGCTTTCTTAGATCTGCATTTTTACTTACTTTAGTTCGAATTTCTACTAGTTTGACTTGCTTTCATTTGATTTTCTACTTGCTTTTTAGGATAGATTCATTTGCTTTCTTTAGTTTTAGTTTAATCCGTGACAAACACCAACCCCTTAAAACCGATTTAGTATAGACATAAACTTAGAAACCGTAGGCACACAAATTCTTATGGATTTGATCCCTAAGTACTACATTTGATTAGCTGTGCACTTGCGGCTTTTATTTGTTTTTATTAAGGGTAAAACTTGTTCCCTCACCTTGTAGCACATCATGTTTATGTCTATATTAGTATTGTGAAATCTGTGGTTTAATTTTTCATGTTAGATCTGGATTACATTACATGTTTGAATCTTAAATTTGTGAAAAAAACCGAATCTAAAATTTGTTGCTTATAAAGTGTTGTTTTCAAAAAAAAATTGGCAATCTTTTTGGAGATTGTTTTGGGGAGAAAAATTTAGGATTAGATTTGGTATAAAGTCTCATGCTGTAAATTTTATAATTTTTGAATTCGAGAATTTTTTTCAAGATTTTTGAGCAAATTTTCGGATCTGAATTTGCTTGGCAGCTGATTCATAACGAATTTTAGGGTTTTCAATCGAAATTCGCTTAGATTGAAGAAAGAGAGTAACTTGGTCTTTTACATTTTTGATTTAATGAAACACATCATCTATGGACCGCAGGTCCACTGGTAAAATTAAACGAAGGAAAATAACGTAGAATTTGAACCCCATAACTATAGGACTGCAGTTTTTCTTCTTTCTTTCATCAACCACTATGCCGCCGTATAATTCTTTTATATGTCGCTCCCAAAATTCTAGTTATATGTCTGGGAAAATAAGATTAAGTTTTAAATCAATAGATAAATTTGATCGCAAGTATAATATTTGAAGTAGATTAATCGATGCAATATGTTGCCAAAGTAACATCTATTGTAGGTATTTTTTCATGAATAATATTGAGTATTGTGTCTGTGTATATTCATTTGAATATTAAATCGATCCAAATGTAGATTTGTATTTAACCGAATTAAATGCATACCTGTGATGATAAACATTTGACAATTATTTGAAATAACCATGCGAATAGTAAATTGATCCAAAAATAGTTTTATTGCTTATCATGTATTATTGTCAGTGTTTGATTATTATAACAAGAATATCGTTAACAGCTAATATTACTATTCAAAGACTTGATATTAATGTTGTACTTAATATCTTGAGATGGGTTGTATAATCGTTTGTTTTTTTTATTTATTGATGTAATTCGATTTAGTAGTGCGTTGCTAATAAAGATTTTTTCTTTTGTAGCGAATTTTTCTACAGTATCTACAAACTTTGGTTTAATTCCAACACATACTGGTTTCAACTAAAAGGAATGGAAG